CAAAATGGTTTGGGATAGCAAATCTGGCCGTTTCCGTTTCCATGTACCGTTTTCGCACTTGCATGTGCCAATTTTGCCGTTTTACTTGAGTTATGCCTGTTAGTGGCCGTTTGTGATATATTGTGATGCAATCTTCTATTTCAGACGGTGACGGGCTAGACGGTGCCAGTGGGGCCTACTAGCTGTATACGTGACGTGATCCTTGCATTTTTGCTATACGTACCTTTGGAGTAAGTATTCAGGCCGTTTATGTGTATAAACTGCTATTGTGTTTTGATGTGAATAAAAGGGAGATTTAGGCGAGAGTGTACGTTATCACACTCGACCTAAACCCTAGTTTGTACTTATGTTTTTTCATGAGATGTGTATGCATGAATTATTTTGGTGCTGAACCCCTTGAGCTTGGAGCTCGGGGTGACTTTCGTGAATTTGTGAAATATGATGAAGTTGTGGGCCCGATCTCAAGACCTAGACGGACTATTCGAGCCTGCCGGGGCTTGGTCGAAACTAGTCCAACCTAGTCTTGAGGTCACCAAGTTCGTAGGTTCAAGTTGTGAACCAAGTTTGTGACCCGAGCTTATGACTCAAGCTCACGTTTGTGATTTCGTTCGCTCAAGCAAGTTTGTGAGGTGACTAGCCAGTGAGGGTGATAAGGTGTTAGGTGGGAGTACAAGTGGAGTTCTACGGACCCTTATATGTGGTCGACGGAGTGTCGGCAGGAGGTCACGCCTGGCGAACCACTTGGCTTTGGAGCCAACCTGTATCCTTACTTGTGTTGTTACTTATATCTGTTGATTTGACATTTTGTGACATAATTGTTTATTTTAATATGAAATTTCCGTGTTTACCCCTGTTTACTTACTAAGCTTCTAGCTTACCCCTTTCCTTTGTTTTCCTTAACAGGGGCTGACACGGGGAAACTTTTGGCACTAGCACTAGTATAGCGAGGCTTAGTTTGTAATAGTTGGTCAACTAAGATGTTCCTTTTTGTTTTGGTGGTTTGTATAAGAACCCTCCTTTGGGAATGTAAATAGAACTCTTTTGGCGTTGGATATATTATGAATAGTACGCTTTAGGGTTTATCTAGTTTTATTGTTTTGAAATTTTGAGTCCGGACGCGAGTTAGGCAGGCGTCCCACCGATACCCTAGGGTTCGCCCTTGGGAGAAACGGGGGCGTCACATCTCACTAGTCCAACACTAGTGAGAATTTATAGACATGGACTAATTCAACGCTAGACCCCTTAGGAAACATCCACGCGTTAGATCGTGTTTGTGTGACAAATTATGACATTTCATGCATATTTTCTACTTTTTAGGGTCCTTATCATTTTTGCATGATATTTCCCCTATATGTATATCCCCTACCCTTATGTGCAAATCATGACATTAGATTTGCATTTCATTTAAGGAAAGTTAGAACTAGGTTAGATCATTTTTTGCTTGCCTAGATTAGGAGAGTAACCCCTTAAATATGGGATATGGACGAGTATGGCTTCTCTAACCTTAGCATGCTCGTATTCCCTCTATCAAAGGGAAGATTTAAGTCACGAATATTAGTCCCCCGTACCCATTATGATGCATTCCTTTAGGTCATGTATATTTGTATTTTATTATTATTTTCTTTCTTTCCTTGAGTCTCATTGTTGCATATTCGTGACCTCTTCAAATCATTACTTTTAAGCATCACAATTAGTGCGATTGGCACCAATTAAAATTCGAAAAGACATATTGACCCCCCAATATCCTTCTAGGTTTAGGTTTTGCATCCATATAGTGACATCCAAATGTGATAAATTCTTAAGTTAAAATAAGAAATTTTTTTACTAAATCCCGCAACTAGCCTTGGTTAGGTTGAAAGGGTGCCTTGGATTTTATTCTTGCCTTCTCTTTTTTCAAATGTGACTCCCAAACACTTTTATTTGATTTTCAAAAATTTGGAGTTGTTTAAAAAGGGTTTTTTCTACTTTTTTCCTTTAAAAATTCATTTTAGGTGACTTGGTACACCTTAACTAGCGACTCCTATTTTTTCTTAAAAAACCCTTTTTTAAACTTTTAATTTGGGCCAAAATCGTCGCACTTTCTAGTCCCATTTTAGGCCCATTTCTTTATTTACTTTCTAAAGTCCAAAACTCATTTTTCAAATCAAAATTAATTAAAATTCATTTCTTTATTTATTTTCTAACTAAAAATTCATTTTCCTCAAAATTAATAAACAAATTCATAAACACGTTATTTTTTATTCAAAAAATGGGGCACGACAACAATATATATAATATTATTGTTGGATTACTGGCACATGTGCAAAAGTTGAATTTTAAATTCAAATTTTGCATAGTTGTCATTCATCCAATGCTAATAGTATATACGCTGTCAGTGTAGGAAAGATTAATTCATAAAAATAAAGTAAGTTGTATTTAGAAGTTTTTATTTATTTATTTATTTTACGTATAGAAATTAGGTGAGTCATATTTGAGAACTTTTATTTATTTATTTTGTGTATAGAAATAAGGTGAGCTATATTTGGGAGTTTTGGGTAGGTTTTGAGAATTTTATGAGATTTGAGGGATTTAATATGTGACGATCCCACTCCACCCTAGAGTTTACTTGAGAGATAACATCACATTAACTAAAGCTACTAACAATCTATCATACTTGAGAGATAACATCACATTAACTAAAGCTACTAACAATCTATCATACTTAAGTACCGCCTCAAAACAAAAGCAAAGATGTCTCAGTCTAAACCATTTAACATATATAAGTTCCCTTGAAGATACAAGTCAGGATAACCACAACATTTGAGTACAAAAGGAATCTCCCGAGAATAATTTCGGGTCCCGGCTTAACTCTTGGCTATTTCCCACTCCCGTCTTTACTTCCAGCTTCAGAGGATTTTTTTTAACAATCATAATGCTTCCAGTACTTTAATAATGAGAAAAAGTTTAGAAAATCACTAAGACCTAGCACAATCTTCAACATCAATATTTTTTTTTTGAAAAAGGGCAACCTGCCCTGAATTTTATTAAATCATGCAACGATACATTAAAAAGAAAGAGTGGTAGGAAACAATGAAAACCCAAAAATCAAGCCCTAAGTTGAACCTCCCACAACCGAGAAACTCCTAAACGGTCCAGACGTGCCTCTCCTCTGGCTCTGCGGGATAGGGACTCAATCGAGGAGTAGCAGCAATGTCCCCTACCTGCAAGGATGCCAGGGCATCTGCCACCGAGTTGGCCTCACGACTGAAGATGAGCCCTCATCTGATGGAGGAGATGTCTGATCTCCCACAGTACTGTACATACCGGCCATTTTGAGATGGCTTCCGAATTCACTAGTTGGACAAGCACCTTCGAATCTGATTCAACAGTCAAAGCTCCCGTCTCTCGTTCTGCGTACATTTTTAGACCTTCCAGGAGAGATTGCGCCTCCGCCTCCAGCACTCCCAAATCCCCAAACTCTTTGTAATAAGCCGAGATCACCCTCTCGTCATGATCACACAACACCCCACCCCCCGCTGCCTTGCCGATGAGGACACTGGCATCAGTGTTAAGCTTTAGACGCCCTGGAGATGGCTTTTCCCAAGAGACCGGCACCACGCCCTTAGGCCCTCCATAGCTATTGCCAAAGGCCGCCCAAGGACAATCCCGATCACCTGAAAAGGAGGCCGAAGAGAAAGCGCGAGCCTGACCCATCCGGCCCAACAACTCTTCGATCTGAAAAATCACTTGAGACGGAGTGATCGGACATGCGTCAAATCTAGCTTTGTTTCTGCTCTTCCAAATAAACCAAAAAACCAACAGCGGAACAAGAATCTGCACATAAGTGGACGAAACCTTTGAGTGTGAGAAGAACTAGTGGGACAGCATAGCGGCAACACTGGTTGCGGTGAAGGGGAGAAGCCCAAACACCTTGAAAAAGTGTTCCCACACTGCCCCAGCCATCGCGCCGTGCAAGAAAAGGTGATTGATAGTTTCTGGGCCTTGCTGGCAACAACTGCATCTGGAACATAGTGCTATCCCCTTATTCTACAGCAAGCTATCGTGGGGTATTGCGCAACAACCGCCATACAAAGAAGGATACTCTTAGAGGCACGATGGAACCCAGACCGAACGATCGATCCACGAAATATTACGCTTTTGGCGGATGTCCCTCCACGCTGAGGCTACGGAGAAGTTGCCATTGGTTGAGGGTGCCCAAACCATAACGTCATCTTGGTCAAGTGAGAAATGGATGCTAGTGATCTGCTAAACCAAGAAATCAGGCACCAACTCCTTAAGCCGAGGCACATTCCATCCATGAGACGTGAAGAACTCCGCCACCAGGGAATGCGGGGGATTCGTCATCCCCATCACTTGCACCAGAGAGCGATCTCCGCACCAGATGTCATACCAGAAGTCGACCATTCCCTTCCCTAGACACCACCTGATCCTAGACTCCGCAAAGTCTCGAACTGATAGCAGACGACGCCAAGATGCCGGCGGGTGTTGCACCGCAGCGCGCGACGGGTGCATGTCCTTGATGTATTTGCCATGCATGTAGCACACCCATATCGAGTCCTTCCGCCGTAGCCGCCATCATGACTTACACGCAAACGCCTTAGCCGAGTCAGAAAAAGAGCAGAACCCCAGACCCTCTTCCTAGACCGGAAGACAGAGTTTCTCCTACGCCGCCCAGTGTATCCGTTTCGAGTCTACACTTGCGTCCCATAGGAAAGAGTTGCAGATCCTGCCGAGAGCCGTCAGAACGGATTTGGGGGGGGCAAATTGCCTGTAACAGATATAGGGGAATCGAGCTAAGCACATGCCAGATAAGGACGATCTTGCCTCCAGTACTCAGGAGCTTCGAGCTCCAATGGAAGAGACGAGCCCGCATTTTAGCCAAAAGGGGGTCAAAGACTACTGTGCCCAATCTTCCACGAACTAGAGGTACACTAAGATATTTAACCGGAAAGGTCTGCCGGGGGAAGCCCAGAGTCGTCTCTACTAACCTAATATGATCCTCAGTTGCACGAGGGCCGGGGCGGGAGAAGAGCGCTCTTCCCTGCATTGACCTTTTGACCAGAATGTGCTTGATACAGAAGGAGAAAATCACGAAGAGCCTTCAGGGATGGTTCCGAGCACCGAGTGAAGTTGATCGTATCATTGGCAAACGCAAGATAGGGCACAGTACCGCCGGCCGAGACATAGCAACTATCCTTGTTGTTGAGACCTAGCTGCTGGAGACCTTGTCCCAGAAACTCCGCTACAAACAAGAAAAGAGCAGGGGACAAAGGATCCCCTTGATGCACTCCCCTACTAGACTTAAAGAAACCTGCAGGTTGGCCATTGATTACAACTGAAAACCACGAGTTGGAGAATGTCCTGAAGAGGAGGTCTACAGTGGCCTATGAAAATCCAAAACTCCGCAGTATAAATAGAAGGAAAGGCCACTCTACTGTATCATACGCCTTTTCCATGTCTAGCTTGAGCACCAAATTGGGTTGAACCAATTTTCGGTCCAACTCTAACACCATCTCTTGAGCCAATAGAATATTGTCCATTATGCCCCCTCCTAGGAATGAAACCCGTCTGCCATGGTGAAATGAGTTTAGGCATTCCCCAGCCGATTAGCTAGAATCTTTGATATGATCTTCGAGCTCATATTACACAGGCTAATGGGCCTGAAGTCCTTCCACTGAAAAGCCCCATTCGCCTTTGGGATCAGTACCAGTAACGCACTGGAGAAATCCCTGGGCTGCTTGATCCCCTTAAAAAAGTCCTGAACAGCCCTTATCAAGTCCTTTTTGATGATCTCCCAGCACTGTTGATAGAATCCCGCCCCGAATCCATCCGGCCCCGGCGCACTATTAGCCTCCATCGAAAACACCACGGCGCACAGCTCCGGTAGTCACCGCAGCATGTCATCCTCCTCCAGTTCTAATCTGGGCAATTCTGAAGGCAAAACAGGTGGGGAAATATGCCCACTCGAACGAAATAGACCCGAGAAAAATCGTACTATAGAGGCCTGAATGTCGACCGTGTCCTGCATCCAACCCAACGCTTCATCTTTAACCCACAAAATATAGCTGGAGCTCCTCCGCTGCTTTACTACTGAATGGAAGAAAGAGGTGTTCGCATCCCCTTCCTTGATCCACCATAGCGCCGCCTGTTGTCGCCAGAACTCGCATTCAATTGCCAACTCTCGTAGATACATGGCCCTTGCCTCATGATGCCGAATCATCGAGAGGTCGTCTCCCCTTGAATCGAATTCCACCTCCCGTTGCTTGTATACTTCCTCCGCCGATTTGACACGAGCAAAAATATTCCCAAACTTCTCCTTGCTCCATTTCTGCAACTGGAGACGAAGGGCTGTCAATTTGGAGTAAAACAAGTTCATCCCGACCCCTGAGCCCGATTGTTGCCAGACTGTGGCTACCGTCTCCAAGAAATTGGGGTGACGATGCCACACATTAAGATACCTGAAGGAAGGAGGAACAGGGGACCCCGATCCTGCTTTGATCAAGAGTGGCGCATGATCTGACCGGTAGCGAGGAAAGTGAGAAACTCTTGTGACTAAGTATTCTGCCGCCCATCTGGAGTTGATGAGAGCCCTGTCCAAACGCTGCCACACCTTACCATTCTTCCAGGTAAATGGACAACCATCGAAGGCCATCGGGGAAAGCCCACACGTGAACATGGAGGAATTGAACTCCTCCATGTTAGAGATATTAGCCGATCTCCCCCCTCTGTGCTCCTCCATGGATGCGATCACATTAAAGTCCCCAGCTACGATCCACGGCTCCGTCACCCTCACACTGAAACCCTCTAAGCAATTCCACAGAGGGCGTCTACCAACTCTCGTGCATTTAGTATAGACCGTCAAAATGTTGACCACCTCACCTAAGGGAAACGTGAGCCTGGCATGCACAACCTGATCCTCCCCCTCCAAAAAAGAGAGCTTGAAGGATCTACCCCAAAGACACCACACCTTGCCATTCAAGAAAGACGCACTCTGGTGAAGCAATGGAAATTTGGCTCCTGAGAGCCATCGGTATCCTTACACCTGAATTGTTATTCGTAGTGTTATTGTTTCTTTTAGAAACGAATTTGTGAGGACTCGCAAATTTCTTGTATTTTTCTCAAAAATTCCCTTTTATTTGAAAATTATTTGGTAACTATTATTTCATGTTATCCATGGTTCAATCACCCTAGAAAAGTGCCAATAACCATAGGAAATTAGGGTTTTCCTATTCGTTTTCAATTCAAGGTGAAATTGGATTTTTCGTGTAACCGCAGTATAATTATCCGGTACCGAGTAGGGATCAAATTTGGTGCATAAGAGTGACTTTTAAGTGAGAAATAATATGTGATTAGAAGCAATGATAAAAAGTTAGGGAATAGGGAGTAAAAACCCTAGTACGTGCGATTTAAGAGAAAACGCGTCACACCGACGTGTACCGTGTATTACCAATTGAACCATCACTTGACCACCACTTTCTTGCCATACAAGTTTAACATTAGTGAAGCAAAATATCTTGCCCCTCTTGGCTCTCCTATTGGCCGAAATTTGTGGCCCAAGTGCAAGGGATGAAAGAGAAAATTTTGTGGTTGTAAGTAAGCCAAGTGTTAGCCAAACTTGTGGCTAGAATTAATTCTTATCTTTCCAACCTTCTTATAAGACAAACTAAGCTTAATCTTCCTCATTTCTTCTTCTTCATGGCCGACCAAAGAGAGAGAGAAAGGGAGAGCAAGTGAAAACAATTTTCTTCTTGAGTTACACCAACCAAGTGCTAGAATCGAATTCTAAACCGATTAAAGTGTGGGTTGTGAGTTAGGAAGCTTGTGGAACTAAAAAATTTTCAAAGGAGGTGGAGTATCACTCATTCAAGCCTTGCTTTTGAGGTAAAGTCTGATCTTGGTCCTTGTTCATTTAATTTTTGGTTAAAGATGTGATTTTATGGAGGATTAACACTTGAATGCATGAATTTCCAGATTTGGGTTTTCATTTCTTCTCTTTCTGCCCGGTTTTAGTACTCTATGTTAGAGGCCGAATCAGTTCTTACCCAAAACATGAAAGTTATAGATAATGATGTTTTCTAGTTACCTGTAAAATTTCAGCTCAATCCGAGCTTGGTAACATGTGAAAAGTCCAAAATATCCTTACTGTTTTAAGTATTTCCTAAGCAGTCCGTGTGATCAGTTAAGTCCAGTTTATCCCGTTTTTTGACTAGGATTCATTCTGATTTAGTGTTTTGCCAAAACATGAAAGTTGTATCATTCTGAATTAGCTTTCAAATTCCTCTAAGAACACTGGATTCGGACTTGTGTACTCTGAGATATGTCCATTACAGTGTTCTGCGTTTAAACAGCCAACGAATTGGTTTCTGGTTTAGTAATTCGAGCATTTGACCAAGTTACATTAGAAACTGGACTAAGGGACCTTCATGAACATTGTAGCCCTGAGTCTTAGCTTCGAAACGGCATAGGTTGCGTCTTAATCCGATAAGCGTAGCCTCGGATAAGTTATTTCCGCTTTCATACGTCAAATCTGTCTTTTGCTAAATTGAATTTCTGCACTTGTTATTACTGTATTTCTTATTCTTATGATATTGTAAGCCTATGGAACGGCTCTTGACTTGAATTGCTTATGTGTGATGTTGGGTTGTGGTTGAGGAAAAATAATGAAGCCGAAATGGCTGGAAAATTTGGTAAACACAAAGGGCGTGCTGCCCAAATTTTCGCTCGAGGGCTAGGTTTCTATTTGAACTTGTATACTTTTGTTTAGCCAATACCATGACCGGTTTTCCATTTTAAAACATGATTTTTCATCCTTGGGTTCAAACAACCCTCTTCTTACTTGAAAGTGATCTTTACACGTTTCATTCCTAATTAGTCGGGTTTCTTTGTTTCCCTTAAATGTTTTGCTCGATAAACTGTAATATGCTCTCTTGTTCAACCATAGGTTTCATTGGTGACTAAGGGTAATATCCGGAAGGATATTTTGCACGTTATTGTGCGTAAATAGGTGAGTGTTCTATATACGTTTTGTTTCTATGACTATGTGGATTGTTGGGTCTATGTGATTATTTGTGACTATTTGATTAAATGTTACTTGTTTTCTATGATTTCTAAAATGAACTTTTGCTAGGCGAGTGTGTACTTTATCGCACTCGACCTAAATAAATATGAAATTTTCAATGATTTAATGATGGAAACATTAGTTGCGCATGATGTAAGCCTTTTGGCTGAATTGGGCCCTGCCCTTCGTTACCGATCGACTCGAGCCAGAAGCGGATTCGGTCGGGCGATATGGTGACCCTGGGTGAATTTGGTATACTCGAGTATTACCTTGTAGTCCGGCTACGTCCGGATGGGTGGAGTCCTGCCAATGTCCGGATGGGTGGAGTCCGGTCAACGTCCGGAAAAGGGGATGAACGAACAAAAGGATGAACGAGGGATTCTACTTACAAAAAAATGTATTTTCAAACGATTGGAGGAATAAGGGGAAATGTCAGGGGAACGAACGAACAAACAAATAGCTCCTCGTGAGCCTGTATCCTTTTAATGAATGTATTATCATTGCTTTATATTGAACATGTTTTCTGGATTAAATGTTATTACATGACTAATGTTCCTTGTTTAATTACTTGTTTATATATATAGAACCTCACTGGGTTTTTTAGCTCATACCACGTCAATTGTTTTCCTTAGCAGGGGAAGGCGAGCAAGGACGAGCGTTCTGTATAGTCTAGTTGATCTAGTTCTTTGGCCTTGTAATGGTTCTCGCCCTAGTGCTTGGCACGGGCTGGTTGTATGAGGAATGAGAACCCTTGTATATTCGATGTTTGTACTTGAATGGTAAAAACTTTGAAGACTTCTGGTGTGTAGAAGTTTCTTATCTTTTACTTGAGCATCTATTGTCTATGGATGTATATACATGATTTGAGTTCCATAGTGAGTGAGTCCTGGCGAGAGCTGGGCAGGCGACCCGCTGAACCCTGGGGTACGCCCTAGGGGGAATTGGGGCCGTCACAGAATTTTTCACTCGTTCATTTTGAAATTGGCTACTAGAAGTGTATTGTTCACTTTTATGAACATGTTATACTAGTTCTTTTGCTACGTTGATACTTGTATTTTTAAATAATGGTCAACTTGCTATTTGGAACCTCACTGGATTTTTAGTCCATTTGTTTTCCTTACAGGGGGTATGAGCGAGGCGTGAGACTTGTACAGACTAGCGTAGTCTAGTTTTTTGGATTTTGCTATTGTACTCGCACTAACACCCGACTAGGGTCGATTTTACTTTGGTTGTAAATACTTTAATGTTTTGGACGTGTATAAACCTTGTAGCTGGATTTGAACATCAATGTATATGTTAAATTTGAGATTGTTGTTTCATTTCTTCTCTATGGACGAGGTATCTTTCTCGAGTTACACATGAGTGAGTCCTGACGAGAGTTGGGCAGGCGATTCGCTAAACCCTGGGTTACGTCCTAGGGGGAGGTGAAGCCGTCACAGATGGTATCATAACTCCTATCGAACTCGTGCCGAGAGAGGGCTCTCGAACTGTGGGGATTGGCTTATTAAGTGTGAAACAAAGGTTTATTGTTGGGGACCTTAGATATGCATGTTGGATAGGAATCTCTAATACGGGTGATTTACTCTTGGGACTGGTCGGCTCGAGTTGTGAATTACCTTATTGTGGATTCTTGTACCTGAATACCCAGTAGTGAAACTGCTAGAATAAAGGCCTGTATCCTAACTGTACTTGAGGTGAGTTTTGATGGCAAAGGTAAAGGTACAGAAGATCCTAACATTTGGTCTAGGAAATAGACTAATAAAGGGGATTGGATCTAGGAGTGTTATCATGGACGAATC